TCTAATGTAGCACCTCATCATGTCATCTGATGGTGCTCTATAACTGCATTATGTGCATTTATTAACCTCTACCCAGACCTTGAGTTCTGTGAAGCCAAGGTTACTGAATAAGGCCAACCTTTTATAATTTATTTTCATTTTTATTTAAAAACAAGGCCTGAGTAAAATTTGTGTCCTGCCAAGCCATTAGGATATAGATCTGCTTGCTCCTTTTAGGATATTTAATTTAAGCCAAAACAGGATGAGTTAGGTTTGTGAATCTTACTTATTGCCTCTGAAATAGTAACTGTCCCTTAAAAATAACATCAAGAGCACTAGTTTGTAGAAGTAAACATTTTTCTAAGTAGGTTGTCAAAGAAATCTTAACATTTCTTCATTTCTCTTGGAAGGAGTCTAAAGCTACCTACCTGGAAGACCTCCCACCTCCCCCTGAGTATGAATTGCCTCCAAACAAGTTAGCAGAGGAAGTGGATGATGTTTATCTGATTCGAGCTCAAGGATTACCATGGTCGTGCACTGTCGAAGATGTGCTTAGCTTTTTTTCAGGTATATTTTATGTATGTTTTAAATATGTAATTTTTTCTGAGCAAAAGAGTCCCACAAAATCCAAGTTAAACTGTGCTGTAAACATCTTATTTGATGGTTGAGAATTGTGTCAACTGGTGCATACCAAGTGATACCATGTGTACTCTTTGTTTATATACCAGGTTTAAAGACTGAATGCAACAAAAAATTTAATGTTAAAACAACAAAAAATTAGATGCTAGGACTAAAATTTAATGCATAAAGCCAGGTTTCTCTGAAGTTTTGATATGCACAGATCAAAAAGCCAAACCTGTTAGTGGAAATATGTTAGTGGGAACATGGGTTAAGAATAGCTCTTTATGCAAAACATACATTTAAAATACAAGATCACGTATCAAATGGCATAGTTTCCTTAATAACGTGTTTGGAGGGTTACATATCTGTGGTTAGTTTTTTTGTTTCTACATCTGACTGATTTTTAATTTTCCTTTTAAGAGAGTTTTAGAAGATGCTACCTTAAATGTTGTAAAAACAATGTAACATATACCAAGTACCTTAATGTGTATAGCATTGTGTGGTCAAGCATTTTGTAAAGTCATTTACATCTTCCATTTGCTCCTATTATAAGGAAGTATGCAATAAGGGGATATCTTTTCATAGTAATAAAAAAGGATAAAAGTTAAATTATGGTAGCAAAATTATTCTTATAGGAGATATTTTAGAGTTTTTTTGGTTGTGATTATAACAAAAGAAGACACTTATGCATAAACGTAACCATAGAAGCATTGAGAAGGACATAATACATTTTTTTGTTGAGCCTTGTTTAAATTGCCATTTAATGACCAGGAGATCATAAACTTATGTATGCAGTATAGTTTGCTTATCTTTTTCACGTGGAACTTTTTAGAGATTACCCCCTCATTGGCATTTGGACAGCTTCAGATGGGGGCTTGTGTAAGGAATATGGCAGGCATTTTGGTTCTTGTTTTGGTGTGGGAAGATTGCATTCTAGTGGCTTGTATAATTGATTTCTGGTTTTAATTGATTTTTTTTCACATACTTTTAGACTGCAGAATCCGCAATGGTGAGAATGGAATACACTTCCTCTTAAATAGAGATGGGAAACGAAGAGGTGATGCCTTAATTGAAATGGAGTCAGAGCAGGATGTGCAGAAAGCCTTAGAAAAGCACCGCTTGTACATGGGGCAGCGGTATGTGGAAGGTACGTGAAGTCACTGTGTGACTTTTCAGGATCATTACATAAGACTTTATATTTTCCAAGGCAGTTTCATTTGCTCCTTAGCAATAGTGAAATAGTTAGATATTATGAATATGCCCTTTTTTAGGGTACCAACATGAAGCACAGGGATCATCTCTGTTTCTTATCTATAAAATGAAGATGTTGACCAAGTTTATCTCACAAATTGTGATGTTTAAATGAATGATGCCTGGCACATGTAAATACACAATAAATGTCATGTTATTTTCTCCAAAGAAGTACATAAAGATTTAAAAAATACTAGTTTTAAAATTCTTGATATTTTTTAAAGACGCTTATTCCTTTGTTATGTAAATTTGATGTGTCTTTTGTGCATTTGCTTTGTAGTATATGAGATAAACAATGAAGATGTGGATGCCTTAATGAAGAGCCTGCAGGTTAAATCTTCCCCTGTGGTAAATGATGGTGTGGTTCGCTTGAGAGGACTTCCTTATAGTTGCAATGAGAAAGACATTATAGACTTCTTTGCAGGTGCTTTTCAGTTTTATCATATTTGGAGCCTCATCCCTTCCCTCTCCCCGCATTGTCTCCTTTTCCTAAGTAACTGCATGCAGTTATATTAGGTTCTTTAGGGGAGAACTCTTCATTTGGATTTCCAGTATTTATGAATTACATAAGTGTTTCTCATAGCAGTGTCCATATTAAGACTAACAATTTATATGAATTCGAATTCTTAGCTGTAAAATATGCATCATTACATTAGTAGTGATATTAGTCTAAATCTCTATTTCTCCTATTACATTTTGGCAAAAAAAAGACAGAGAGAAAGAGAAGTGTGTTTTACATGAACTGCTTGTACCCTAAACATTCTGGAAATATAGATGTGTAGGTGTTACTAGTTTTTGGCTGCATAATAATTTTCTTTCAATTAGGTATCTAGTTTTTGGACTGGCAAAACAGCTCTCAAATTTCACTAATAAAGTAAAAAAAATTAGTATGTGAATGAATGAGTTAATTTTAAGTATAAAAAGTTCCTGTTAGCAGCACTAATTTGTGATAATTTTTTTGGTGTCCTAGGACTGAATATAGTAGACATTACTTTTGTGATGGACTATAGAGGGAGAAGAAAGACAGGAGAAGCCTATGTGCAGTTTGAAGAACCAGAAATGGCCAACCAAGCCCTATTGAAACACAGGGAAGAAATCGGTAACCGGTGAGTAAGGTAGATACTAATGCTGCAGGAGTATCATACATTGGGTCATTTTGATGAATGCACTGTAATATGAGTGTCAGGTGATCTAAACAGAAAAGTAGAGTAGTATGATGAGCTTTCAGATGCCTTGCACTTAGATTAACAAATCATTGACGTGGTAATTTGCTGTATCTGTTATTTCAATATGCATCTATAAAATATATTTTTTTGCCTTGGCTGGCTGGCTCGGTTGGAGTATCCTTCCGGGTACCAGAAGGTCTCAGGTTCGATTCCCAGTCAGGGCACATGCCCTGGTTATGGGTTCCATCCCTGGTCGGGGCATGTGTGAGAGGCAACTGATAAGATGCCCCTCTCTCTCTCTCTCTCCCTCTTCCTCCCTCCCTTTCTAAAATCAATTAAAAAATACTTTTCTTACATGACCCCAATATTATCACATCTAACAAAATTACCAACAACTTATCTAATGTGAATCCATAATCACATTATCTTAATTATACCTAATATATCATTACAGTTGGATTTTTTTGGCACCAAAATCTAGACATGACCTACACTTTATTTGATTGTTCTTAAAGTAGAGCAAATCCCCTTCTTTATTTTTTTATTCCTTCTCCCTTTATAAATGTCATTGACTTTTGAAGAAATTGGGACAGTTGTCCTGTACAGTGTCTCATGTTCTATTTTTATCTTATTGCATCCTCATGGTGTCATTTAACTTGTTCCTTTGTATCCTGTATTACTCCCGGAAACTGGAAGCTAGAGTTAAAGTCTTGAATTGGTTCAAGTTAACATTTTGATGTGGATACTCTGTAGATGATTCTGTAGACTGTATATCACATCACCTTAGGTCACAGCGGTTCTCAACCTGTGGGTCGAGACCCCTTTGGCGGTCGAACGACCCTTTCACAGGGGTCGCCTAAGACCATCCTGCATATCAGATATTTACATTACGATTCATAACAGTAGCAACATTATGAAGTAGCAACAAAAATAATTTTATGGTTGGGTCACAACATGAGGAACTGTATTTAAAGGGCCAGAAGGTTTGAGAATCACTGCCTTAGGATGCACGGAGTGATTTGTGGCTTCTTTTGTGTTTTAACTTTAATTTTGGAGGAGTACTCAAGCCAATCCAAAGCCATTGTATTTCAGAACTACTTACAGAAGTGGTTCAAAGGTCTCTATTAAATTTGTTTCAAGTGAAAAAAATATATGCAAAGCAACACCCCTCTCCTTTTTTTTTTCAGCACTCTTCATATTATAATGTATCTTGGAACATAAAATAACATCAAAGTTATTTTATGTGGGGATGTTAAGGCAATGTAGAACTCTCTATAATAAATTAAGAAGTGGTGCCCACCTAATCTTTATAGGTCTTTATATAAAATGATTTTTACAGTTCAAGCTTTTAATAACCTGATTTGGAAAAGCAGTGTTGAGAAAAAGAAAATTGGATCCAGAAGCTTAGATTTAATAGATACTTTCACTGCCAAGCAGATCAGAATTGACATTTAGTTCACGAATTCTCATTAAATAAACACATAACGAAGTTCTGGAGGAAGTTAGTTCCTCATATACTGTGACAATCACTTATACGAATATGATTAATTTTCACAGAATTGAATTTTAAAGCTTCAATAGATTGTTAACCACCTGTGGAAAACAAAATTCTTCTTACCAGATCAATTCTTTGCATACACACAATTAACTATAGCATAGTTGTTCTCATGAAGCAAAACAAGGTAAAAATGTTGTTCAAATGTGTATGAGGAAAACTCACCTTGGGGAGGATTAAATCAGTGATCTGTTCTGTTGAGAGTACTTTTACATGGGCTAATAATATCTGTTCTTACTATCACCTGTTATCTTTGGACACTTGTGTTTCATAAGCTATTGGAAATACTATATATGCATGTTTATTTTAAATGAGTTCATTGTAAAATTACTTTGCACCATTTGTGATGTTCTCTTTTGCTTTGACATAGATATATAGAGATATTTCCAAGCAGAAGGAATGAAGTTCGAACACATGTTGGTTCTCATAAGGGAAAGAAAATGGCATCTCCTACTGCTAAGTATATAACTGAGCCAGATGTGGTCTTTGAAGAACAGGAAGTAAATGAGGATATTCGACCTATGACAGCTTATGAAAGTGAGAAGGAAATCGGTAAGGATCTGCCTCTTGTTAGACTCATTGGGTCTATCTTGTATGTCTTGATATATGTATGGGTGAATATATATATATATATATATATTACCATTTGTATGAAATTGTAAGACTCTTGGAGAAAGGAATTGAATTAAAGATTTAATATATCTTTGAGTGTAGTATGTACTTTGAATATATGCAGAAAGGCTTAATTATTTCATAAGTTTTTAAAATTTAATAACTTTTGTAGATTCTACATCAGATAAGCTGGCAGCACAAATATAACCAGGAAGTAAATGCCAATATTTAAACTAAGGTGGGAAAAGATATGGGTAGAAAGCAGGAATGTTGACTGAAGTAAGGAGTTTTGTTTGCCTCTGTATTCAATTATTCTTTTTATTCCTAACCCACAGCAACATTTGGAATCTTTGAAGTTTGCTAAATCCTTTTTAAACTGGTGCCCTGGGATTATCCTGTTACCATATTTATTTATTTATTTTTTAATGCTTATAACTCAGAAAATTACTCTTTCCTCGATTTTTTCATTAATAATCATTTTTCCTACTCTCTCTTGTTATAGAAAGTCTAGAGGCCTGGTGCATGAATTCGTGCACCGGTGGCATCCCTCGGCCTGGCCTGCGGGGTCGGGCTGAAACCGTCTCTCCAACATCCCCTGAGGTGTCCTGGGTTGTGAGAGGGTGCAGGCCAGGCCGAGGGACCCCACCGGTGCACATTTGGGGCCTGGGAGGGACGCGGGGGGTTGGCCAGCTGGGGAGGGACCGCAGGAGGGCTCCAGGGCGTGTCCAGCCCATCTCATTCAGTCCCAATCGGCCAGACCCCAGCAGCAAGCTAACCTACTGGTTGGAGCATCTGCCCCCTGGTGGTTAGTGCATGTCACAGCGAGCAGTTGAGCAGCCTTAGCATATCATTAGCATACTACATTTTGATTGGTTTGAACTGTCTACTGGACACTTAGCATATTAGGCTTTTATTATATAGGATGTTCTTTTGGAATCTGGTAATGGGTTGAGGCACTAAATTTTTAAGCGAAGCGAAGTTTATTACAGCAAGAGTAGAGCTCTCGGCATGTGAAAAGGGTCCCAAAAAGTGTTGCCCTAGCCACTAAATTCTTATGGGTGTTCAGGTGTTATTTGTAAGATGGCAGAAATTTCAGATCATTTTGGCTTTTAAAATTCAAGTCCTTCTTCCCTACTGGTTCAAGAGGCATTAAGGGCCCTGACCGGTTTGGCTCACTGGATAGAGCGTCGGCCTGGGGACTGAAGGGTCCCAGGTTCGATTCCGGTCAAGGGCATGTACCTTAGTTGCAGGCACATCCCCGGTGTGGGGTGTGCAGGAGGCAGCTGATCGATGCTGCTCTCTCATCGATGTTTCTGACTCTCTATCCCTCTCCCTTCTTCTCTGTAAAAAATCAATAAAATATATTAAAAAAAAAAAAGCATTAAGGATTTTGACATAAATGTCATACCTAATTGTAATTTGTTAATAACTCTTGAAGTTTTTATGCTCTTGACGGTGTTTTGTTCCACTTTTCAGAATTGCCTAAGGAGATGTCAGAAAAGCTTCCGGAGCCTGGTGATTTTGGAACTACATCTTCACTACACTTTGTTCATATGAGAGGATTGCCTTTCCAAGCCAATGCCCAAGACATTATAAACGTATGTGGCAGTAAGATATCTAATCTCAGTGGGTTAGAATAAAAGTTTTAAAATTGAGCTTCTATTAATTTTAGGAAGGTAGAGAAGAAGATACAGTATTTCTGGAGTATCTTTGGACAGTACTATTTACCTCTCCATGGTTGGGGAGGCTTGTTTTATTCTCTTAACCTGAGAAGTATGGGTTTTCTTGCATTTTAAGGTGACAAGTATAGTGGATAAGAGGATTTTTTTTTAAATATATTTTATTGATTTTTTACAGAGAGGAAGGGAGAGAGATAGAGAGTCAGAAACATCGATGAGAGAGAAACATCGATCAGCCGCCTCCTGCACATCTCCCACACCGGGTATGTGCCCGCAATCCAGGTATATGCCCCTGACCGGAATCGAACCTGGGACCCCTCAGTCCGCAGGCCGACGCTCTATCCACTGAGCCAAACCGGTTTCGGCGGATAAGATGATTTTTTAAATGCACAATAGTATGATGTGGGTTTAGTATTCAAAGAAAGTGGATTTTCTCTAAATTGGTTCAACCTCTTCAGTTTTGAGTTTAGTGAGCTGAGACCCAGAGGAACTTGCCACAGAGCAGTTAGGTCCTAGACAAGAATTCAGTGCTCCTAAGTGCTTGGAGCTTTCATTAGACCATGTAGCCATGTGGCATTATGATTCCCTAACTTTTTGAGAAAAATAATTTTAAGAATATTTTTATTTCATGATAGGTACTGTATGAAATGGAAAACTAAAACAACAAAGTACTTACTGACTTCATGAACTTGAGGACATAAACTTAAGATAGATTCAAACCTAGAGTTTTCAGTTAGTGAGCCTTAGAGTTGTCTTTATTATTTCAAGAAGCCTAATAGGTATCAAATTGTCACCTAAATGAAGGTTGCGGTCTCATTAAGGCATTAAATTTTGTTGCTTTGGTTTGGAATGACAACCATTCAGGGTGGTAGCTCTGTTATGTAGTGTTGATAAGAATGGTTATCAGGTACATGCCTGATGAAAAAATGGTAAAATTGAATTACTAAGAAATAAAGTATATGTGATAGATGACAGATAGTCCTTAGAAGTGGAAGGACGTTTGTGGGAAGAATAATAAAAGTGGTCTCTGTTGGTATAAAAACATGTCAAGAACCATTTGTTGCATAGTATTGTATTTATAGTATAAGTTGTCTATGACCAGATATTTGAAATGAACTTTGAGTTCTAAAAAGATCAGAAAAGCCAGAAGAGATGGTAGAAGATATTTCCTAAAAAAAAAAAATTAAAGTGTATGAATCAAAGTCTGAAAGGAAAGTGCAGAACTACTAGACTTCTAGAAATTGGACCTAGTACCATTATGTTCCTTTTGGCTTCATTTGTTTGTTGTTTAGTTTTTTGCTCCACTGAAGCCTGTTAGAATCACCATGGAATACAGTTCCAGTGGGAAGGCCACTGGAGAAGCTGACGTGCACTTCGATACCCATGAGGATGCTGTTGCAGCTATGCTCAAGGATCGGTCCCACGTTCGTAAGTGCTGCCGTGGTTTTTCATGGTCATTTTCATACATGCCTTGGCTTACAAATGCCTTTTTCTGTTTTGGAATTTTCCTAGAATATTTCCTTGTGAAAATTGTATTCTGTCATTACCACTAAAGTAAATGTAAAAAAGGATGAGACATTATATTGTAATGAAAAGCATTTATCTGCTAATGATCCTGCATATTCCTATCCAAAGTTAGTTAGGATTTAATTTTGTTTTATATTTTAGTTTAAGAAAGCCAATGGACAAAGGGTTTGAGTTTCTGTCTGAACTATGAGAAAAAAGGCTCATAAATAATATTATTTCTGCCTTTTCAGCTTTTTGAAATGAATCTTTTTTTTTCATTCTCAGAGCATAGGTATATTGAATTGTTCCTGAATTCATGTCCAAAGGGAAAATAAGACTTCTAGGGACTCCAGATAATAAGGTAAACTTAAGAGGTCCAATTGTGGAAACTATTTTCAATTGATAAATTAATCATTAACTTACTAATTTGTAATATGGTGGAAACTGTTCTCTTTAACACATTAAGCGCCAAGCCTGTTTTGTCTTCCTTTCTGTTTCAGTCACCAGTGACTGACATGGCACTTAACGTGTTAATAAAGATGAAACTGATCATGATAATTGAAGCATGACTAAAAGGAGGGAATTCTCCTGGGAAACAGAATTCGTTATGATTGTACTAGAGGCCCAGTGCACGATTTATGCACGGGTGGGGTCCCTCAGCCTGGCCGGCGATAGGGGCCGATTGGGGCTGCGGGAGGTTGGCCGGCAGGGGTGGGGAAGGGACCGCGAGAGGTTGGCCGGAGGCCCCTATCGGGGTCATTGGGGCCAGCTGGCCCCGGGGGAGGGACTGTGGGTGGTTGACCGGCCAGGGGGAGGGACCACGGGAGGTTGGCTGTGGGAGCACACTGACCACCAGGGGGGGCAGCTCCTGCATCTGCCCCCTGGTGGTCAGTGTGTGTCATAACGACCGGTTGTTCGGTCACTTAGGCTTTTATATATATATAGACTAGAGGCCTGGTGCACAGATTTGTGCACTGGTGGGGTCCTTCGGCCTGGCCTGCACCCTCTCGCAATCTGGGACCCCTTGGGGGATGTCGGAGAGCCAGTTCTGGCCCAATCCCCGCAGGCTCGATGCAGACAGGAGGGAGCCTGATCCTGTGCGTTGAGCATTTGACCCCTGGTGGTCAGTGCGCATCATAGCGACCGGTCGAACAATCAAATGATTGCTTAGGCTTTTATATATATAGATAGTGGCTCTGAGTATTTTCCCCATATACAGTCTTTTTGTATTTTTTCTTAACATTCATGATTCTGTGAGCTGAAAAATAATTTTTCACCTTTAGTAGCTATAAATCATAATACACTGGCAATGTGCTTGCATTTGTTTTTCTTTCTATAAAAATTTTGAACACATTTCCTCAGTTCTAAGATATTTTTTAAATGTTTAAAGTGATACATTTGAAACTAGAGTATACCAGTGATATGTACACTTAATGTACCACTGTTTCTTTTCCTAAAGTGTGTTATGAAAATGGTTGTACTAGGAAGTTTATGATTTCATAGGGTTAACTTACCTGTGACAAATCTAAATATGTCTTGATGTCTTTTCTCTTGACTAAATGTTATATGGTATTTTTCCTTTTTCCCCTATAAAGTGTATACACACACACACACAGTATATTTTAATCCTCACTCAAGGATATGTTTTTATTGATTTGAGAGAGAGAAAGAAACATCAATATGAGAGAGAAACATTGATAGGTTGCCTCCCTTAAGTTTCCCGACCCGGGATTGAACCCGCAACCTAGGTATGTGCCTGACTGGGACTCAAACATGCTACCTTTTGGTGTATAAGATGATGCTCCAACCAACTGACCCATACTGTCCAGGGCAAATCTTTTAATATATTTCGTTGTAATCATTTTTCTACATGTAGTGGTAGATATTTAGTGAGTTCTTGAAAACACCTGGGACATTTCTTTATAATAGTTGTCATGGGCTGTTTTTGGATGTAAAATACCACAATCTCCTGATATTACATATTTACATTAGCTAAAATCTGTGTAAAATATATTCTGTGCTTCACTTTAAAAGCCTTCCTATCTTCATACCAGGCTATAAATACTGATGCCTAACTAATTTTCTTTACCTCAACTTAATTGACTTTTCAGATAAGTTGCATGAAATAGGAAAGAAAAAAAAATTACTGAATTTGTTATTTTAAATGATATGGGAACATGTTCAACACTTTTTCGTTTTTAGTAAATGTGCTGTACTTTTTGTTTTATTTTCAGGATGAAGCAAGAAGCATTTCATTTGCACATCTTTCTTGGATATGGGATATACAGTTCCAGTGTTTTAGCAGCAACTGTTAGAGAAAGGATATGGGGGTCTTGGATTAATTGCTTAAGAAAAATTCCATAGTGGACTGTTTAGAAAGAAAAAGGAAAGATTCAGTTTGGAATTAAATAAATCACAAATTTAAATTTTGTTTAAAACTGTCTAGGATAGGATCTGATTTACAAATCTGGTCTTTATTTTATGATTAAATAATTTGTTTTCATAGAGATTGTTATCCAATGTAAAGACTGCATATTTTTATTCAGCACTGTCATTTAAAATCTTCCTCCCATTTTAAAAATGATTTTTTGAGAACTTTGATATAAAACTTCCTATGGAATAAAATACTGATTTATTTTAACCAAATACTCACCAAAGCAAAGAAAGGTTTCAGACCTTTGAATCATTATGATTGGTAGAGTAGTTATAATTTTAGGTGTATTGATGACTTAAGGGGTAGGAATGTAAAAAAAAAAAAAGATTCAAAACAAAAAAATAAATACCACTGGTTAGTATAATGGACAACTATTCGGCAGTGTCACATCTTTAGAAATGTTTGGCCTTTCTAAGCTTGTGCTACTGGCATTTAACATAGTGCCTGTGTGCTTTAGGAGGGAATTCTAGTCTCAACGTAAAAGTTGTCTGAACACATCCCCATCCCCTGACCCCCTTTTTTGGTTTTGGGTAAACATTAGGGGTGTTAGTCTCAAAACTGTGAAGTGACATCTCAAAACAGTCCCTACTGGTAAGGATCTTAATGGCTTCACTTGAATTTAAACCAGCTCTAGATAGGAAAAAACCTAAGTCCCTTCATTTGCTTTTTCAGTGGGGTAGCAAATCCCATATTTTAGAACAAGTAGGGGTGCCTTGCTTAAATAAAAATAGCATTTAATGTATAATTGTGTGAAGGGTTTATGGATAAAGCTGTACTTCTGTCACATTGTGGCAGTACATTCTGCTTTCATATTAAATAGCTTGTTATTTAAATATTGGATCAAAATGGCTGGCTTGAAAATGTAGTCATTAATAAACTAATTTTATGTGCACCTGTGTAGGAGAATCAAAGTCCTGTATACTTTCTTTGCCTTGTTCCTGTTCTCAGGGTCACTACTGCTATGTAGTTACCAAGAGATGCAATTCTAGATCTTAAAATCGAATTAGTCCAGATTTTTGAGAGGTGATACTTGGAAGAGAGATTATGTCTTCTCTCACTCAGTACATAACCATCTTTGATTACCAGCTAAGATACAAAATCACTGTACTGTAAATAGTTAATAAATGAAAGCTTGGTTCAGGCAGATTACCTAAGAGTATTTATTTTGGAGTGTGGATAAACCAAATATATTTTTATTACATCAAGTCCTGGTATATTATTATAAGGAGACATGATTGACTTTTAGTTGTGTTTGTCATCCAGTAAGAACATGACTTACCCGGTTTAACAGCTTCAGCGTTCCTACTTAGATGGAAACATGTTTTCATATATGTGTTCTGAGCTGTGCAAACCGGTCTCTAGCTGTATGATCTGCTAGAATGTGGTCTTTTCTCTCTCCCTTTAGCTGTAGGCATCCAGTTTGCTATGGAAAAAATCTGTAGGGTTTTTTGGGATTGGAGATGGTGAGGAATTAATTCATTTGCAATTACTTTATTTTGGAGCTAATGAATTTCATTTGCATATCCCTGGGAAAAGAAAGAGCAAAAGCCTTAAAGTGTTGTGTGGTGGGTAAGCTGGAAAGGGTGTGTCTTCCTGCCACACTACTGGCTGAGTTCTCTTTAAAAAGGTGGCCATTCTTGGGAAGTCTTATGAATTCATATACTTTTCCTAGCCTCCCTTTAGCAAGTTACTGCTCATAATTTAGGCTACTAAATGAATACTTGCTGAGAAGGCAGGTGTAAAAAAGCATGTGTAAAATCGCGTGATAGAATAAAAGTGATCTTTTATTTCTACCCAATCAAAAGACATATTTCTCTTTCCCCAAATTTGATAAAACTGGGTTGTTTGTCATCAATTGCTATTGAAATAAGTAATGACAGAGATTTTCTCTTCTATTTGTGTCTTTATATTCTCCTTTGTGGGAAAGCTATCAAAATTGCCAGATTGGCTATGGCCGGGTTACCCATATACTGCTTTAGTTAGCTACTTCTTAAGGAGCTGTAAGGGAGGACTCTGATAAGGAACCTTATCAAAGTGTAGGTTTTTGTGTAGATCCCGAGGAAATTGCTAGATTGTGATCTGATCTGAGATACTCACTGATGCCAGAGAAGGAAGCAGAACCCAGAGTATTTGTCCCTCTCTGCCTGGGTGAAGGCGGCCTATGCCAGGTGGGAGGGAGACGGGGTGAGCTATGGAGCGGAAGTCTGAAGCCTGGACACATCTGCAGGGTGGGGAGGAAGCAGCAGGAGAAAGCACTTCCATCTACATGACATTTGGAGGCAAGGGCCCTGCGTATTAGTCAACATGCCCTGTTGGCATCTGCCCTGAACCATCCCTCAGCAGATTCTCATTTGGGGATTTTTCTTGGGTTACATCCTATTCATTTTACAATTTAAAATATTCTTTTGTTTTCACAGTTTCCCCTAAATCATGTGAAAGGGTTTATATTCAATTGGTAGGACACATTATAGAGCAGAATGGTATTTCAGCAGTAGAGGCAGGCCTAAGTTCCATTGCCTTTCAAAAAAAATAGCCCTAATGTGGTAGGAATGGACTCTTCCCTCCGGATTCTGCAGATTAGAAGATACTCTTTGAAGTTTGTACGAAGGGAATAAAGCTGCTATGAACAGTCGTGTAGGTTTTTGTGTGTACATAATATTTCAACTCATTTGGGTAAATGCCAAGGAGTGGGGTTGCTGGCTCATATGGTAAGACTGTTTAGTTTTAATAAGAAATGCTAAACTAGCTTCCAAGGCGGCTGGCTGTACCATTTTACATCCCTACCAGCAATGAGTGCCAGTTCCTGTAGCAACTCATCCTTGTCAGCATTTGGTGTTCTCAATGTTTTGAATTTGAGCTATTGTAATAAGTGTGTCGTATCTTGTTTTAATTTGTGATTCCATAGTTTCATAAGATGTTGAGAATCTTTTAACAGATTTGAATCTGCATATTATCTTTAGTGAAGTGTCTGTTCAGATCTTTTGCCCAGTTTTTTAGTTGGGCGGTTTTCTTCATTTTAGGAAGGGGATATAAGAGGGTTTTATTTGGTGTTTAAACCTTGATGATATGAAAAATAAGATAATTTTTAAATTTGTATATATTTTATTTTTTGAAGGAAATAATATTCTAGAGATATGAAGGGGTGTACTTCCTCTGATCCTGTACTTCAGCCACTTACTTTCCCGTAGGCAGCCCTGTCATCACTTTCTAATGTAAACTTCCAGTGATATTTACTGTATAGATAAGCAAATATAATAAACATTTTCATTTCTTTTTAGCATACTATACATACTATTCTGAACCCTTTTCTCATTTAATATATCCTAAAGATCATTTGATGTCATTACACAAAAATCTTTCCTCTTTTTTGATTTTAATATTTTTATTTTTCATTAATCTTAGAGGAAAGGAGAGAGAGAAAGAGAGAGAGAAAGAGAGAGAGAGAAGCACTGATCAGTTGCCTCCTGCATGAGAGAGAGAGAGAGAGAGAGAGAGAGAGAGAGAGAGAGAGAGAGAGACACTGATCAGTTGCCTCCTGCATGCGCCCCAACCAAGAATCGAACATGCCACCTGATGTACGGGATGAAACTCTTACCGTCAGGGCTTCCCTCATTTTTTAAAAGTGATTGTACACTATAGATGTATGCAATTGAACCTGTCCCTTACTAATGAACATATACATTGTTTCCAATCTTCTGCTATTATAATGCTGAAATGAATTACCTTGTATACATTTGTCATTTTATACATACATAAATTTCTCTCTGTAGGATAAATGATCAGAATATGTGCACTTGTAATTTATATCAAATTAAATTTATATCTGTATATTTTTTCTTAGTTTGCACTAGCAGTGCAAGTGCCCATTTCCCCATAGCCTCACTGACACAGTGTATTAGCAACTGTTCTTTGCCACTCTTAGAGGTTAAGCGTGTGTGTGTGTGTGTGTGTGTGTGTGTGTGTGTGTACACTTGGCAATAGTATTCTGTGAGGTAGCATTTCACGTTTAGAGCTTTTGAATTTCCTTTTCTGTTCTCTTACAATCCCTATGTATTAATCATCTTCATTAATTTTAAAGCAAATTCAAACCATATTATCATTTGTATTTCAGTGTGCATCTCTTTAAATAGGACTTTAAAAATATCATCATTCCTAAAAATACTAATTGTTTTTATCACTAAAAATATCTATTTGAAATGTCTTTTTTAAAAAAACCTTGAGTCAGGATCTAAATAGTCTACACATTGCAGTTGGTTACTCTGCCTCTTTTTCCCCCTGTGACATTTTTAAATACAAAATTTCAATCAAACAATAAAGTGACATTTTTAAATATGAAATTTCAAGCATACAATAAAGGCAACTATAAGCATGCCTATACCTATCACCTCGAAAAGGTACTATTTTGCCATACTTTATCATCTGTGCATCCACTGGTCTATTTTCTTTATGTGTGTCAAAGTTGTAAATATATTTGACTCTTAAGCTTTGGGGCATATATGTTGTTAAGTTTTTACTTGTAAAATTTACAGTGAAGTGAACAAATGTTAAATGTACCATTAGATGAGTTTTGATGTACAACTTGTAACCCAAATTCCCAGCAAGCTACGGAGCATCATCACATTAGGAAGTTTCTTCACCCAGTTTCTGCACCTCTCCCATCTCTTCTCCCTGTTAGGATTTTCACCATGGATTACTTTAGCCATTTTAGAGCTTCATATAAATGGAATCATATAGTATGTGTTTGTGTGCAAATTTCTCTTCAGCGTGTTTTGAGATTCACCCCTATGTTTCAGCTTGGTTTCTTTTCATTTCCGAGTAGTATTCTATTGTAGGAACATGCCACAGTTTAACTTTTCATGTGTTAGATGAACAACTGGTGGACAATGGGCTGTTTCCCATTTGGGCTATAATAAATAAAGTTGCTCTGAACCTCTTGTGCAAGCCTTTTTGTGGACCTATGTTTTAATTTCTTTTGAGTGAGTACTTAGCAGAATATCCTGAGTTGTAACGTTGGTATATTTTAAGTTTTACTAGAAATTGACATACCTCTTTCCAAAGTGGTCATCCTATTGTACATACTCACAAACAATATGAGAGCCACTAGGTCTACATTTAATGGTGTCATCCTGTAATTTCAACCATTCTGTGTGTAGTGGTACCCCATTGTGGTTTCAATTTGTCTTCCTTGACAATCGATGAGCATTTTTTTTCATAAGCTTTTGGGCCATTCAAATTTCTTTAGTGAAGGTAAAGTGCTTGTTTCCTATTTTAATCTATATGTTTACTCTTCCATTTACTTTTTCCTTTATTTTTGAACGAGTTAAGATTAACCTGTAGACGTTTCCACAATCTGAGTTTTGCTCATTGCTTTTCTGTGATGATTGACACTTTTCTATTGTTTGGTCTTTTTCTTAGTTAGCAGAAGCCTGTTATTTTTGCTATGAACTAACTTTAACAACCCCCATCCCCCCACCCCCCACACACTTTGTCACTGTTTATTATGGCAGGATATTTTTATGTGGTGGAATTCTTAAATCTCCCCATATATATATATATATTTATTAGTTTCAGAGAGAGAGAGAGAGAGAAACATCATTGATGAGAATCATTGATTAGCTGACTCTTGCACGCCCCCTTCTGGGGATCGAGCCTGCAACCCAGGCATGTGCCCTTGACCGGAATCGAACCTGGGACCCTTCAGTCCACAGGCCGACGCTTTATCCACTGAGCCAAACCAGCTAGGGCTTAAATCTCCCCTTTTATGGCTTCTAGGTTTTGTGTCAGAATTAGGACATCCCAGTGAGAGGATTTTGAAAGCACCTGGTGATGAGGCATGAAGGCCTGTAGCCAAGGCAGACTAGAATATGGAAGGATTCAGTGAAAAAGGATCACCAAGGTACGTTTAAGATAAGCTTTTCAAGTGATCCAGAATAATTTGAATCCCACAGGTGACACTGCACAAGTATATTCAAAGACTTGTCCCAAAACACACCTGGTTCTAATTGAAATACAAGAGGCTCACCACCTCTCTTTTTGCCATTTGGCAATGACATTTGGGAATAAAGGCCAAAAGCAAAAGAGAAACTTGAGTTATTCATAATTTCTGATAGTTTGGCTGAAATTCCATTTGTTGCCCCCTTAAGAAGGCAAATGAAATACAGGTGATAATATTATGCTGATTTTTAACCTGCTCTAATTAATGAGTAAATTACTTGTGGTAAATGAGTATGAGTGATACTATAGTGCCAGAAAGCAGCACCCCACAATGGCAAGGCAATACTGCTGCCTGGAGACTCATAATTTTCCATCTCCCTGCCTCCTGGAGGCCTGAGTGATCTGTTTACCAAACTTAATTAACTCTTAGGAATGTGACATCCTCAGCCATGCTTACAACTGGTCAATGGTTCTTTTAACCAGTTTTATATTTCAAGATAATAGGTTGTCTTTAAAGAATATATATTTCTCTTGATTTTTAGGGAGGAGGAGAAAGGAAAACATGGATGTGACAGCAGGAAACAGATCAAGCTTGGGGATCGAGCTTGAAACCTGGGCATGTGCCCCAACCCATGTGTGCCTGACTGGAATTGAACCAGTTATCTTTTGGTGCATGGGGAGACGTCCAACCGACTGAGCCATAGCAGCTAGGGCAACATAAAGTTTGTCATTCTAGGCATAGCAATTTTGCTTGGCAGATACTTGACTTCTGACTTGGTAGATTGACTGACATGCTTACAAAATCAACTGTCCTGAGGAATGTTGAGAATAAAATAGAAGACTTCAATAATTGACAATCCCCAAGCAAACAAATGCCTAAGAACCGTTAAGATGGGACCTGGGATGACATTTGGGGGTGGGGGAGAATATATTATTTGAAAGATGTTTTACTAGAAAAGCATGGCCACTTATTTTTGAAGTATAGTTTTTTAAAAAGTGGCATTTTCTGTTGAGCAGAGCTGAAATGAGGCTGTGATAGTGGCCCTTAGAGCTACTTGGAAATCACTAGGCCATACCTGGAGTCCTTTCATAAAGTGAATTTATTTCTAGGCTCTCCATTCTATTCCTTTGGTCTCTGTCTTTATCACAGTACCACCGTTTTGATCACCATATCTTTGCAGTAAGTTTTCAAATCAGGAAATGTGAGACTTCCAACTTTGTTCTTTTTCAAGATCGTTTTGGCTATTTGGCTACCCCTTAAGATTCTGTATGAATTTTAGCATGGATGCTTCTATTTCTACCATCGCTACTATATTGGGATTTTTGGTAGAGATTACATTACAGCCTCTATATGGCTTTGGGTAGTATTGCTATCTTAAAGGATATTAAGTCTTCCGATTCATGAACATGGGTGGGGGGGGGGGGTGTCTTTCCATTTATTGGTATCATTAATTTCTTTTGGCAATGTTTTATAGTTTTCAGTGTAAAAGTTGTTTGCCTCTTTGGTTAATTCTTTTTATTTTATTTTATTTTTTTTATTTTTCGCTAAAAGTATTACAAAGGGTATTACATAAGTGTCCTTTCCCCCCCCCCCCCACCCTTGACAAGCCCCTGCCCTCCCTTACCCCCCAGTGTCTTATGTCCATTAGTTATGGTTATCTTTGGTTAATTCTTGTTGATGCTGTTGGAAATGGTGGAAAGCAAATTTTAAGGACAATAGGCTTAACATTAAGTCAAGGTTTTCATGACTTGGTCTCCTTGCTCTTGTGGGCTGCTGCACTAATAGATCTTTGGAGCTTCCAAAAAAAAAAAAAAATCTCATGTCTAATTACTTATTACATCTTACAGTCTATGTACAGAGCTGCCTGTTTCCAATTTAATTGAAACTAATGATAAAATAACTTGCTAATATAGGATAATTCTCTAAATTATCCGTGGCACCTAGAACAATGCTGGCATATGTAGATAGCCAAAAATAAGGAGAATGAAGAATCACAAAAAACAAATATTATTTAAAGGGGAAAAAAGACAACAAGCTAGGCTAGATTTATTAGATTTTATTTTTCCTTAGTACTCTTAAAATTCAGCTTCAAATAACACACCAGACTTCTGAAATAACAATTCTTTCCCAAGAGTAACCCTTTTTAGGAGACAGAATTTATCAAATACAACGGTTCCAGGATGTTTCCACTGAGAATTCTAACCCAGTTACAATCTAGGCACATGTAACGTAATGAATATAGCATATACCATTTCTTTCCTTCCCTTGCTAAACGCACTCCCCTCCCCCCTCAAAGCTTGTTACTGAAAGATGTTTGAGTATCATACTTTCCAAGAAACCTGTCTACCAGTTCTCATTCTTGGCTCAGAATAAAGGATCCCTTAGTCAAGAAAGAATATTTTGAGCTCATTATTCTCTGCCATGGATGTAATTGTTTTACTTAACACCTGACTTAATTTTGCTTTCAATATTTCCTATTTGCAAAAGTTAAACCCCATCTTAAAAACTAACAATTTGCTTTATGACTTGGAGAGGGGAGACTGGGGAAGGTAGCTGGCTTGTTTGTAGTTGGAGACTGAACAGGGCAGGAATTTACTTCTGAAGTCATTACGTGGAAAAACAGCAACTGTTCCTCCACCTTGTTCTGATAATGAACATACCTACAGGCCAGGACCAGAAAATTCTGGTCCTGAAACTATAATATAATATTGCTTTAAGTACATTCAGAATTTATATTACTCTTTAATTTCTTTTCCCTGAGCTTGTGTTCACAGTTTGATAGAGATACTTTAAAGAGGTAGGTAGTGGGGTTGAAGAGGAAATAATGTTCATGTTTAGCAGCACCTGGGAAAATATGTAACATCTGTCATTTTGATCCTACATAACATTTATCTTACCTCCTCAAACCTGCAAATGTAATAGAGGAAGATGATCATTTTTCTTTATATTCTTATCCGCTAAGGACCCTCTCCTACTATATCTACCAGTGTTATCACTATTTACTAAAATGAATAGCTCTTTCAAAGACATGCCGTAAAATAAACCCTTCAAAGTGGGGTTGTTTAGAAGAGAAGTTCAACTGAGTAACTTTTATTTATACAGTCATTAGGGAAAACGAGCAAAAGTTCCAGCGCCCCAACCACTGTCTTTTCTTCCTGGATCTGGTTTATTTAAACCATTTCTATCAACTCAAGATGATTCTCAGGCCTGGCCTCTAGGGAATCCTGATGTCTAACAAGGTAGAGGCATGTGGGTCCAGGTCTTGGCCTCCAGCCTTATGCTGGGCTGGTGGAGTACTGTTTCATCAGCTGCTCGTGACAGGGATTGCACACTCGCTCAGGCTTAATACTTGAAGGAAGAGGCAGTTCGTTTGTTGAACAGGCATCACAGAAGGTTCCTCTGCAGTTCTCACATACATTCTATAAGGAGAAGAGCAGGTTAGGTGGGGAAGAGAAGGGACAAGGATGCATGGGATATAAAAGGCCAAATACCATCAACACTAGCGTCTAACCAAGCGTTGCCTGAATGCTTGCTATGCACGATCTCTGCCTACAGAGAAGCTTACAGTCTAGTTCAGTGATGGCGAACCTTTTGAGCTCGGCGTGTCAGCATTTTGAAAAACCCTAACTTAACTCTGGTGCCGTGTCACATAGAAATTTTTTGATATTTGCAACCATAGTAAAACAAAGATTTATATTTTTGATATTTATTTTATATATTTAAACTAGAGGCCCGGTGCACAAAAAGTTGTGCACTCGGGGGGGGGGAGGGGGGTCCCCCAGCCTGTCCTGTGCCCTCTCGCAGTCTGGGACCCCTCAGGAGATAAGACCTGCTGGCTTAGGCCTGCTCCCGGGTGGCAGAGGGCACTCCCAATCCCTGTGCAGCCCCTGGTCAGGCTCAGAGCAGGGCCAATTGGGGAGTTGGGGCACTGCCCCCTGTCATGCAGAGAGCAGGACGGATTGGGAGGTTGTGATGCCACCCTCAGTCACGCTCAGGGTAGGGCCGATTGGGGGGTTGGGGCACCGCCCCCTGTCACACTCAAGGCAGGGTCGATGGGGAGGTTGTGGCGCCACCCCCTGTCACGCACAGAGCAGGGCCGATCAGGGGGTTGGGGCTCTGCCCCCTGTCACTCACAGAGCAAGGGCAATCAGGGGGTTGGGGCGCTGCCCCCTGTCACTCACAGAGCAGGGCCGATCAAGGGGGTTGGGGCGCTGCCCTCTGTTACTTACAGAGCAGGGGCCCATCAAGGGGGTTGTGGCTCCGTACCCTGTCACACACAGAGCA